AGTGGGCCGAAACCCTCATTTCCCTCTACTACTCTTTCCTCATACGACGTGGCATAAACATAGCAACTTGTATGACAACGAAATTAAATAACACACACACGCACACAAATACCTTCGGTCTTCTAGATTTATACCTGGCGATAGGTAAATATTGCGTGTGCAAAACACACTGAGAGATGTTGTTGTTGTTGTTGTTGTTGTTGTTGTTGTTGTCTTAACGCCATTTTTCAGCACACGATAGGCTATTCATTGCGGCCAGTATTAATGGTGGAGGAAGAAACCGGGAAATCACCGGAAAGAACCACCAACCCACGAAAAGCTACGGGCAGGCTTTCTCGCTTACCCACGTTAGCCGAGTCTGGACTCAGACTGAGGTGAGATGGCAGTGATCCGTAACGGTCAGCGCTTTAGACCACTCAACCACTCGGATTTTGTGGAACTATTTGGATTGTTTATGTACAGAATGAATGTAGAAGCTAGACTGTTATTACCATGAAGTGGGTAAACTATTACCACTACTACCGCTGCTGCTGTTACTACTGCTACTGCTACCACTACTACTAGCAGCAGTAATGGTAGTAGTAGTAGTGGTAGAAGGAAAAGTATCTGACTGAACATACTATCCTCTAAATCGCAAATGGTCAATTTAGAAACTTCTACTTTATGTGTGGGGGAACATATTTAAATATTTGATTTCTGCATCATCACATGGGAGATATGAGACCTCTCCATTCCTGATGGCTTTTGATTATAGATTTTTAGGAGATCGAGTTCTTTTACGGATCGAGAAATTAATAACATAAAATATTATAGAATGACAGATCTGAGCAGAGATATAGAATAGAATACAAGGAGAACCATATGTAAAATATAACAATTTAATCAATTATATATGCAAAATAATATTGAAAATGACATTGAATGGTTAACTTTTTCTAATAAAAAGAATTAGAAAATTTGTTCGAAATTTAAGTAGCCTTTCTGTTACAGCGATAATAAAAAAAAAAACTTCCATCATATAATCGAGAGTGATTGAACTTAAATTGCCGGCATGTCAGCATCACATGGATGCTTCCAGTCTTCTTCAAATTAATATATGACAAGTTGGCGTTGCTGCTCTCTCTCTCTCTCTCTCTCTCTCTCTCTCTCTCTCTCTCTCTCTCTCTCTCTCTCTCTCTCTCTCTCTCTCTCTCTCTCTCTCTCTCTCTCTCTCTCTCTCTCTCTCTCTCTCTCTCTCTCTCTCTCTCTCTCTCTCTCTCTCTCTCTCTCTCTCTTCCCCCTCGGGTCATCAACAGTCTTGGTTGTGATATTTTCCACATGAAATACAGGTAAGGCTCAATTTCCTTTCAAGCAAAATATAATACTCAACGTAAATAAGTGTCAGGTTTTTCTTCTCCTATGATCAACTAATAATATTTCGACTCTTTATCGTCAATCAAAATTCAACAAAACTAACCTATGATCTTAGCAATTTTGCTGAAGGGAATATAATAGAAGGGAACTGATATAATTTTATTGAAGGGATTATAATAGAAGGGAACTGGTGCAATTTTGGTAAAGTGAATATAATAGAAAGAAATTGAAGTGATTTCGCTAGAGGGAATATAATAGAAGAGAACTGGTGTAATTTTGCTGAAGGGAATATAATAGAAGGGAAGTTGGTGTACTTTTGCTAAAGGGAATATAACAGAAGGGAACTAGTTTAATTTTGCTAAAGGGAATATATTAGAAGAGACCTGGTGCAATTTTGCTGAAGGGAATATAATATAAGGGAACTGGTGTAATTTTGCTAAAGGTAATATAATAAAAAGGAACTGGTGTAATTTGCTAAAGGTAAAATAATAAAAAGGAACTGGTATAATTTTGCTAAAGGTAATATAATAAAAAGGAACTAGTGTAATTTGCTAAAGGTAATATAATAAAAAGGAACTGGTGTAATTTTGCTAAAGGTAATATAATAGAATGGAACTGGTGTAATTTTGCTAAAGGTAATAGAATAGAAGGGAACTGGTGTAATTTTGCTAAAGGGAATATAATAGAAGGGAACTGGTGTGATTTTGCTAAAGGTAATACAATAGAAGGGAACTGGTGTAATTTTGCTGATAGGAATATAATATAAAGGAACTGACGTAATTTGCTAAAGGTAATATATTAAAAAGAAACTGGTGTAATTTTGCTAAAGGTAATATAATAGAAGGGAACTGGTGTAATTTTGCAAAAGTGAAACTTTTATATACAAACATATACACACTCTGCTGCTTGACATTGCACAGTATAAAACTAACGCCTTGTCCGGATCCGTAAGACGGCAGTTTAAGCTAGGGAATGTTTGTATTTCTTTTAATCCGCTCCACATATTAGAAGTAACCTTTATAAATGCATCTTATTGTTGAAGCGCTTCTTCTAAGACCTAAACACTCAGACATAGCAGCTTCGGACTGCTTTTCAGCGGCTTACTGTGCAGGAGTTATAGTCAATCTTCAGTTCGTAAACTCAAGCGTTAATTAGACTCAGATCACAATCACTGTATCCTATTCAGGTCTCACAGGACAGTTGTTTTGCCAAATTTTCATCCGACAATGACCTATTGCAGAAAAATGATCATAATTTTACAATAAAGATACAAATAAAAACTAACTAATGATTTTTGTTGAAAGGATGCTTGTAAGATTCTGACTAAGGTATTAAGGTTAATTCCTTAAGCAACTGGTGGTTTTGATACTGAACCTATACTACCACCAACCCCTCTTTTTTACATTCATTTTTGACAGAAAAGAGCTATTTTCAACCTGTTCCTGTTAGAAGCAGGCTCACAGAGTCAGTATATGTACCTTATTGATCTTGAAAGTTCACTAGTACCATAACAAATTAACATACTTTTCATCACCCCTCAACCATGTAGATGTTTAGATATTTACCTCTGAAGCAGACACATGTAAATACGAAAGCCATGTCGGATGCACATTTGCAGACTAAGTTACGCATTTGATCTCCAGTGCTTAATCTAACTGTGACAGGCGGTCACCAACAAGGCAACCCATTTACAAGCCTAACTCAAAGTAAATGTAAACCACATTACAGATTTAGCTTATGTGTGAGTTTGTAAATGCTAGGGTTGTGATAATCAGGCTCATGCCTTCTACCTTAAAAATTAGGGGGGGGGTGTCAAAATACGAAACTATTCAGTGAGACCTCAAGATCCATGTCTCTTTTAGAGCATTTCCTATTCCCTCATTTTTGTGATGATGATACAAAAGTTAAATCTAAGCATTCTTGGTATTGATTTAAAAGAACTCTTTTTACTATAAGCAGTTTGGTTTGGTGAAGACAATGTACGATAAATAAACAAGCATTGATGTTGATCCGAAGGTTAAAATATGTGACCCATTGAACGTTGCTTTGTTTTCCGACCAGCCTCTCCAAACATGCCGAAAAAGAACTTCATCGTGAGTTAATCTTTTAAAGAATGTCAGATTAACACATGTTATGTTAGGATTGGGACAGTACTGAGAAACAAATGTAGAGAGTATAGGGTACAAATAATTGTGAACCAAGTAAACGTATAGTCTCTCCATCATGCTTAGGTTAAAGAACTGAGAATTACAATTTTCATCGACGCATTGATATCATCACCATAACTAAGAGTGCCAGTTTAGCTGTACAATGACCAAAACTAAAAGGATCAGGCTCCTGATCTCATTTACGGAAAAGAGCTTTACATAATTTTATATGGCATCCACACATGACAACGGTTTCTTTTATTGTACAAAGGTAAATACATTAATTGCCTTGAAAAGAAAATAGATAAGAAAATAAAATGGAAATTATCCTGCAAAATTATTTCATTGCTTTTTCTGTATTGATAATTTGGCAGGATGTAATATAGATCTGATATCTGGAAAGAAAACCACCATCGCTTTTAAGTGAAACATACCTCAAATTGTTGTTGTAAATGCAACAGTTATCTTTAAGCAAACATATGCGCTATTCGCATGCTTGGAAGATTGCCTGAAACCTGGAGGAAAAATTTTCATTACGATAAAGCTAGAAGCACAGCTCTCCAAGTTCAATATATTATTGTACACTTCATAATGAGTTAACCAGAGTAAAAGCCATCTGTCTCCAACAGTCCTCAAGTTGTATTCATACCTGTGAGCTATATTAGTATCAAGCATTCAATGCTATTTACGAGAACGTGACTGATATATTGTTGTGTAAGAAGTCCATGGTAGTTTATATTGATATGTATTGTATCTGACTATCTTGAAAATAATATAAATAAATAATTATAACAACAGTTTAGCTTGATCAAACACATACACATATAAGGGTATTTACTTTCCTATTAAAAATATGACACGATACTTTCCTAATTTATATTGATTCCTGAAACCTGTTATTTCCGATGATCATCCATTGTACATTAAGGATCTATTTTCTTAAAGACATTCTGAATCAATTAGAAAAATGGTCACAATGACTCGGCATATATATTTTCTCAGTAAGCAATCTAAATCAACACGAAAGCCAGCACATTTTATAAGTAACGAATCATCTTTAATTTCCATTATTTTTACCTTGTATGCAGAGTTCAGTTTTCTGAGTAGGAAATTGGTAAAATAACTTACAAAAGCTTAAGTTGGTCAGTTGCAGATTATACAAATTTTGACTTATTTACAAGTAAGACATTGTAACTAGTAAAAGACGTTGACGTTTATTAAAAATAAATTTTATTTTTTTCTAGCCTACGAGTTTTCATTAGTATATTTATTTTTCTTTGATTATTACAGTCCTTCATAGCTTCCACATCTTTTGCCACCTTTCGAGTTAACGGTGATGTCATTCAGGTCCACCGTGAAAGACATAATACAAACATTTCCAACATGGTGAAAAAGAGAAAATGATTTTGTGAATAGTGTAAATATTGCATTACAACACTGGTCGGTAGCTCGCACTTAATATCATTCATGTACGACTATTGTCCGTGATAATTTTTATATGACCGCTACGGTGGCCAAAGTGGTTTGAGCGTCCTCCTAGAATGCGGGAGGTCGCGGGTTCGAATCTCGTTCTAGTCATACCAATGACATCAAAATAGCACTAATTGGTACCTCGCTTGGTGCTCAGCATTAAGAGGTTAGTGTTAGGACTGGTCGACATGGTGTCAGAATAATGTGACTGGGTGGGAGATGACGCGACATGTCTGCGAAATTATCGATAAACACCCAACCATGATCATTTAATCCTTCTAATTCCAATTTTCTTCCTTTCTGATCATCATATTAGCAGATTCCATCGACACAGCATTCATGTTTAGGTAGCTCGTAGTTTTCTTTCATTAGCCTCTTTACTGCTTTAGAATATATAGCCCCATCTTCACTAGCCAAGATTCGTTAAGTTTCATTCAGTATTACAAGGTAAATGATTAGAGCGGGTCATGAGAGACATCTTAAGAACTGTGGGATTGTTGTTGGTATTGAAACCAGGCCATTCTCTCTCTCTCTCTCTCTCTCTCTCTCTCTCTCTCTCTCTCTCTCTCTCTCTCTCTCTATATATATATATATATATATATATATATATATATATATATATATATATATATATATATATATATATATATATATATGTGTGTGTGTGTGTGTGTGTGTGTGTGTGTGTGTGTGTGTCTATGTGTCTATGTATGTATTTATGTGCGTGTGTGATCATTATTTAAATTATTTCAGATTCGTTTCTGACTGCATGATAAATGGTAAATTAAACGTTTGCTGTCACCTACCAATTATATGTTCCTCATATTTAAAAAAATGACAAAGAAAAGAAAGAAGAAAGAAACAAAGAAGAAAGAAAAAACCACCTTACATTTACGTATTTATAAATTATTTTATCAGTTATTGAGCAAATGCTCTCTCTCTCTCTCTCTCTCTCTCTCTCTCTCTCTCTCTCTCTCTCTCTCTCTCTCTCTCTCTCTCTCTCTCTCTCTCTCTCTCTCTCTCTCTCTCTCTGTTTTCTTATTAGGATGCCATTGTTATAACTAATAGCAATAGCCTCAGTGTTAGATCGATAATCTATAGGACAGGTCTAACAAATTCACAGTTTTACTATGTTACATCTCCATCCAAACAGACCCAGTAACGTACGTGAAACTTTTTTGGGAGGGAGATATATTTTAGTTGGATTTTGTTTTGTTTGGTTTGGTTTGGTTTGGTTATTGTTTTTTATTTTGTTTTTCTTTCTTTTTTCTTTTTATTTTTTGTTTTGTTATCTTTTACAAAAAAACGACGTCGTTTATGTATTAAGATATACTATCGAACTCTACGATAACAATGAAAAAAAATGACCAACGTGTGGATTTCATCTTTGTCTTACTAGAATATTCTCAGGAGACTAGGAATCACATTCCTAACACGTGCATGGTTCATTGTGCCGACGAGATGTGCAATCAAAACCCTTCATTTGATAGCTGTAAATAAGTTGCATAATTCATAGGAGTAAGTGAAAAGTTATTTAGTGGCTCTCATACTCTTTGTATTTACCGCGTGAATTTAAACCCCATCGTCGCAGCAACATTAGGGTCGTAGTCGGGATTGGACCTCTTTTATTGTCATCATTAGAAATTATAACAATTGAACAAAATCATGCAATTCAAAAACTTGATTTAAATCACGTTGGATTTAGAAATTCATGGGTTGACATTATTTTTGGTTTAAAAGCAGGTAATCTGTGACAAAAAAACGCCAGAGGTAAGAAAGAAACATTTTACTCACAAGTTAGGATAAAGGCTCATTTTCGGAAGCTGCAAGTTTGCAAGTTGAAATCACTACAACATCAATGTTGTCAGAAAATCACTACAACATCAGTGTTGTCTCAATCACTGAATCTGACAATCGTTGTTGAGCAGCTTCATTAATAATATTGCCAACAGCAGCCGATATAGTTTCTGTTGATGGTAGTGTAACCGCATTTGGTGGCACTCATATCACTAATCGTCGTAGTCGATCTCGAATCGTTTGTTTCATCCAACGAACAGCAGCACATTTGATGCTATCAGCAAATAGCATTGCAACGTTTTAGTTATTGGTACAGCACGCGAGGATAGAGCCCCAAGTGTACTTCTGGTGCCCCTGCGAACAATCCACGAGAAAATAGCGAGTAAATAATCATCGAGGACAGTTCCATAATATGTAACGTACACGGGTTTTCTAGCACTAACAACATTCACGGGTCTCACATTTACGCGTACGACTTTCGTTACTATATTAAATTTCAGGTCGATCTCTAATGTACAGTTGGATGGTAAATGTTTCACTCCGCAGATCAACAACGTATCCGTCTTGAACCACAATGGTTAAACGAATATGTGTCAACCTGTAATTATGACATGAAAGATACGCATGTGCTACGGGTGTAATCGGTATTAAATCACCTGGTTCCACTGTTGGTGAATACCCAAACAAACTACACCTGTACTGTCAGACCTGCCTTCGGAATTATCACTGAAAGCGTCGCCGGTTAAACTGATCAGCGTCGCTGACGTAATCGTCACAATGACAGGCATCATGTGATATCCCACGTGTACAAATTATTCATCATCTGAAATGTTTTTAGGCCATAAAACAACTGTGTTGTTGTTGACCTTGCAATGTCAACCACATGCATTTGAGATTCTGCAATGATGACAAAACTTAGTATTGCCTCATTGGCATTTATATAAATTTGAGAGTCTTTGCCCGTCACCAAACTTATTCATCGAATTTCTTCATGGATCGATTCCACATCGTATACGCTGGTAGAAATTTCAATATTACTCCAGGTGGCGCCATTATCTACTGATAACACTAATGAGTTGTTCGCGGGCAGACCACCAAACGGTTGTAATTGAATATTATGTAGCCTGATAGAAACTCGCATAGATGCTAGTGCGATCTCGAGCATGCGTGATTCACCAGCAGTAAAAGATGTAGAAAATGTAACACTGAATTATGGGTTTGTTGATGAGATTGTAATCATCGAGGTAACTTTCTGGATTTTGTTTACATCAACCTGTTGTATCGCAGCCTATATTTCAAGAATGGCACGGAGTATCTCAATCGTTTAAGAACTCAACGTCGGTTTACGAACTTTGTTCGACGTACAAGTCACAGATATCTTCAACAAGTTCATGCATCAGTGCGCGATACGTGTCTCTGTCTATGAGATCATTGGTGACTAATAGCTGATAAGTTGATGTGGTCTCATTAATGACTTTGGGTGCATTGTTGCCGGCACGAATTAATCCCACAATGAATTTCCAATCGATCCGCTGGGTCGCACACTCAAACAAAGCCTTCTCCTTGTTTTGGTTGTTGCTCTAGTGTAGGTGCAGCGGGTCTTTGTTCTGTTCTAGGTGCAGCAATTCTTTGTTTTGGTTGTGATACACGTTTTATCTGTGCAGATGCAGATGTTTGGAGTACACGCGCTGTATGTTGCTGCTGTTCTTGTTTAACTAATTTTTTATTATTATGTTTATTCAAGTGGGGTTTTTTTCTTTGATTGGTTTAGGTATTGACTAACTATAACTTTAATTCTTGAAGTAATTGCATTACTGGTTGATGCAAAAACAGTGTCAAATGTTGTCTCCATAAAGCTGCACATTCTTCGGCTCTTCCGCTCGTAAATGGATGAAACGTTTTTACACATTGAACCAACCACTCACGAGCATGTTTCTTTCCAAAAAAATCCCAGAATACCATTTTAGGTCATTCAACGTTCATATGATTATGATATGTCTTTGACAACATTTTTATTAGGTACTCTTTCCAGTTGCTTGCCGAGTTACTCCGTTAAAGTGTTGACGTGGTATTTGGATCTGCGACTTGTATTTGAGTGATACGTGAGGTATTCTAGCAATTGTGTCTCAAGAAATAGGTGCCAGTTTGCAAGTATACCAACTGATTCTCCAATTTCAGCTATGTCTTCCTTAACTATCCCAGTCACCAGTAGCAAATCTAATAGTCGCTGTTGTGTCTATTGTTGCCTTTTTACAGACATTGTGCTCATATCTATCTCAAGAACATTTTATGTTCCTTTAGCACTGCTACTTGTTTCGCTGTTGCTCTGGTGGACTTTTTAATGTCCTCCGTATAGTCAGCAATTTCCTTTTTGTTTTGGTTTAATCACTGTGAAATCCTATTGCGCAATTTGTCTCGACTTTAATATATCTTTGACGTTTTGCCACCTTCTACAAAATTTCTTATCAGTTCCTAGTGTTCATGAGCGGTTGCACGCGTCGCTTCTCATACTGCGCTATGACATCACTGGCAGACATTTTGTATGATTACTTATCATTATTCAATTGACGTGTCAAGACCCACAAGATATTAGCTTCTGCATATTCTGTCAAATCAATGTTGAGAAAACTATACGGATCCCTTGTAATGCGTGCAAACACGCCACGAAAATCCTCCCATATGAATGTAAGCGGAAAACCCAAGTCCAATAACGGCCGTTAAAATAGTTGAAAGCATCTGCAAATTTCCTTGTTCGTTATGCCGTTTGATAATACGTTATATAATATAATAATGTCTACATATTATGCATGATGTGAGGCAAAAACACGTCCCACAAATCCGAATCGAATTCAAACACATAATAGACTAGTTTCAATTGTTTGTACTTGTGTTTGATGTGGAGCAAAGAAGTTCACGCTCGTACGGAAAGTTGTGGACGCGCAGGGTCTGGTTTAGAAAAGTCGGTGGTGCTATAGCAGCTGCATCAACAAAGCTACTGGAGGCATCGTGGAGTAAGTATCCAGGTGAAAAACACATTCCTGGATACAGTTAATAACAAACTGGTACACGGCTGGATATATGACACGATTCTAACAACCAACCAAAGCCTCATGAAGAACCTGTGAATCGTTTTTATATTGCGTGTTACCGATATAACCTTCATTTAAAAGCATCAAACGATATCCGTAGACGTCAACGCGCGGCAGTGGATCTCATCAACAAGAGAGGTTGAGGTTGTTCGGATCTTACCTTTCGGTCAATAGTGAAATTCAAGACTATCCGAATGCTAACGACAGCTTTTTTCCATATGC